GGACAGACACCCAGAGAGAGGGGGGCAGGGACCCAGAGAGAGGGGGGCAGGGACCCAGAGAGAGAGGGGGACAGACACCCAGAGAGAGAGGGGGACAGACACCCAGAGAGAGAGGGGGGCAGGGACCCAGAAAGAGGGGGGCAGGGACCCAGAGAGAGAGGGGGGCAGGGACCCAGAGAGAGAGGGGGGCAGGGACCCAGAGAGAGAGGGGGGGCAGGGACCCAGAGAGAGAGGGGGGGCAGGGACCCAGAGAGAGAGGGGGGCAGGGACCCAGAGAGAGAGGGGGGCAGGGACCCAGAGAGAGGGGGACAGAGACCCAGGGAGACAGGGGGACAGGGACCCAGAGAGGGGGGGACAGAGACCCAGAGAGGGGGGGACAGAGACCCAGAGAGAGGGGGAGAGACACCCAGAGACGGGGGGACAGGGACCCAGAGACAGGGGGGGACAGGGACCCAGATAGTGGGGGGCAGGGACCTGGAGGGCCACACTTCGGTTCCGAGAGGGGCCTCCCGTGCCGGGGACTGAGCTGCCCTGCTGACCGCTGACCTCCCTCAGGACGGGCGTCTGAGTAAGGCCGAGATCCTGGGCAACTGGAACATGTTTGTGGGCAGCCAGGCCACCAACTACGGCGAGGACCTCACACGGCACCACGACGAGCTCTGAGCCGCGGCGCCCCCCGCAGCCTCTGGCCGTGGGGTGACAGGAGGACGCGGTGGCCAGGCCCCTCCGTGCCCGGCCCCGCGGGATGCGGACACAGCCCCCGGCCCCCGGCTCTCACGGACACACCCGGGCAAGTTCCTCCTTCAGACACCTCATCCCCTCTCGTCCCCACCCCAGGGCCCCACAGGCCTGAGGAGAGAGGGGGCCCCCCACTTCTCACCGGCAGGACCTCCCAGCCCGCCCGCGGCCCCCGTCACCGCACAGTCCACGTCCGAGCCTCACACACAGACAGGAAGCCTCCCACCGCCTCAGCCCTGCACCTGCCGGCCCACAGGCAGCGCCCAGGAGCCTCCTCTCTCGGGGGGGGGGGGGGGGGCAATAAAACCCAGCGCTGGGCTCCCCCGTGTGTTTTTCTGAAGGTCCGATGGGGGGGGACGGAGGGGGGAATTGGGGACTGTGACTTGGAGAGGAACATGCGAGGAGGGGGGGGACTGTGCTCAGGGAGGGGACGGGGTATTTGCAGGGGCGGCTGTGGGTGTTGGCGGGTTCGAGGGCGTCCCTGGGGATGAAAAATGAAACCAGCGGCCTGCACCCAGGGCAAACAGGCCAGACAGAGCTCTGCCTTCTGCACAGCAAGTGAGGGCATCGCTCTCCATCAGGTGGGGGCCAGGCCTCCCTAGGACACAGCGTGAGGGAGGGAGTCCTGGGGGGAGAGGGCTCAGGCGGAGGGGACGGCAGGTGCAAAGGCCCTGTGGCAGGAGAGGGCCTGGTGGGTGAGGGTCCGCAGGAGGCCCAGGGTGGCTGGAGTGGCCTGAGGGCGGGCGGTGAGGGCAGCGAGGGAACCAGGACCAGGTCATGGTGGTCCCAGTCTGATGGGACAAGACAGAGAGCGGCAGGCACCCCGAAATGCTGGGGGGGATGTGCTCTCGGTGCGCCAGGGCCCCCTGGAGAACCCCGAGCAGAGGGTGGGTGTGAACTGACCTGGGTTACAACAGTCACTCTGAGGCAGAAGCAACAGGATGAGGACGGAACCGACGTTTATTCCTCCCGCAGCCCCTGGAGGCCCCTGGTTAAAGCCTCTAGAACTGAACGCGCCCTAGTTGGTCCCGGCGATTCCGCTCCTGGTAGCTCCCGCGTGGAAACAAAGTCGCCGAAATGAGGTTCGGGGCAACTTTAACCACAATAGCCCCACCCTGGGGCCGGCCACGGGCTCACCGCGGGGGAGTTTAGTCTCCAGGCCCCGAGGAGCGAGCGAAAGGAGCTGGGTGCAGGGGATCGCTCGCCACGGATTCCACTTACAGGAAGTTCAAGAACAGGCAGAACTAAGCTGGGGGTCAGAGGTCAGGCTGGTGCCCCCCGTTTTGAGAGGACTGGAATGGGGAGCCGAGCTGGAGCTGGGAACTGCTTCCCGGGGTGGGGGTGGGGGGGGTCAGCCTGTAAAAATGCACCCAGCTGTCCATGCAGGATGTGTCCACTTTTATGTGTGATGCATTTCAAAGTTTGCTTCCACAAAATCCCCCTGAGCCCTGGCCGGTGCGGCTCAGTGGGTTGGGCATCGCCTTCCTGAGCACCAAAAGGTTGCCGTTCAGTTCCCAGTCAGGGCACATGCCTGGGTTGCAGGCTCCATCCCCGGTTGAGGAATGAATGTTTCACTCCCACATCGATGTTTCTCTCTCCCTCACCCTTCCTCTCTCATTAAAAAAAAAAAAAAGCTGCCCAGCTGGTGTGGCTCAGTGGTTTGCTTGTCAACCCATGAACCAAGAGGTCACAGTTTGATTCCCAAAAGGGCACAGGCCCCCGTTGCTGGCTTGATCCCCAGCAGGGGGCGTGCAGGAGGCAGCCAAATGATGTTTACCTCTCGTCGATGTTTCTATCTCTCTCTCTCCCTTCCTCTCTCTCTAAAAATTACTGACATATTTAAAGAATCATCTTTTTAAAAATGCCCCTGATTTCTAGGGCAGTGCAACGGTTTTGTGTGATGCTGTGACGGTGGATGGACATCATTTTACATTTGTCAAAATCTGTAGAATGTACCACAACCAAAAGTGAGCCCTCAATACTAGTATTTATGCTCTCTCTCTCTCTCTTTTAAACATTTTTATTGATTTCAGAGAGGAAGGGAGAGGGAGAGAAAGATAGAAACATCCTGATGACAGAGAATCATGGATCAGCTGCCTTCTGCACACTCCCCACTGGGGATCAAGCCTGCAACCTGGGCATGTGCCCTGACTGGGAATCGAACCGGGACCTCCTGGCTCCTAGGTCGACGCTCAGCCTCTGAGCCACGCCAGCCGGCCGGCTCTCTTCCCCAGGCGTGTACCCCACTTCTCCGTTGCTGTGGTGCTTCAGGCTAGGAAGCCTGCGGTTTCCCTCTGGGTGTTGTACCTGCCTCTGGGGGTGAACTAGAAACTGAACCCCAGGCTGAAAGCTGTGCTGATGAGAAAGTCACCCACTGCCTTTCCTCTTTGTGAATCTCAGTTCCCCTCCAGTTCCTGCCTGTTTCTGTTCACTTTCTAGTGCCTTTAATTATTATTATTATTATTATTATTATTATTATTTTAGTCTTATCCAGAGTTGATAACTGTTAATCCATGGGAGGGTTGGAATTTGAATAATCCCAGTGTCCCTCTCCAAGCTTTTAGTTATAACATACTGCCCCCTAGTGGTTGGAGAAGGAGAGCTGGTTTATACAGAAGCAGGGTAAATTTGTATATTTTTTTAAAATCAAAGTAATATTCACACAAGGTAACAAATTACTTTTACAGAACAACTTACGATGGCAAGCTGCCCAGCACCTCATCAAGTTTTTTTAAAATATATTTTATTGATTTTTTACAGAGAAGAAGGGAGAGGGATAGAGAGTTAGAAGCATCGATCAGCTGCCTCCTGCACACCCCCTGCTGGGGATGTGTCGGCAACCAAGGTACCTGCCCTTGACCAGAATTGAACCTGGGACCCTTCAGTCCGCAGGCCAAAGCTCTATCCATTGAACCAAACCAGCCAGGGCTCAAGTTTTTTTTTTTTTAATCTTTTGCATTTTGGTTATTTTAAATTTTGGGCCATGCAGGATAACAAACTTCCAAATATACAAGATGCTAGATACCAGAAATGAACTCCTCCTTCCACCAAGTGCACAAGTAGCCAGTGTTTCTTCTTTATTTATTTTTATTTTTTTGAATTCTTATTGATTTCAGAGATGAAGGGAGAGGGGGAGAGAGAGAGACAGAAACATCAATGATGAGAGAGAATCATTGATCGGCTGCCATTCCTGCACGCCCCCTATGGGGCACTGAGCCCGCAGCCCGGGCGTGTGCCCTTCACCGGAATCGAACCCAGGACCCTTCAGTCCGCAGGCTGACGCTCTATCCACTGAGCCAAACCAGTTAGGGTAGTAGCCAGTGTTTCTTTCCAGAAAGAATTTATAGATGTAAGCAAATATATACCAATTGTTTTTCTTCTTTTAATAGAAATTATAGCAGATGATTGACAAGATTTTTACCTCTCTTTTTTCTTTTTTTTTCCTGAAAAAAAAAGCTTAATTGTTTCCATTTGGTCCAATGCATGGGAGAGGGCTCCAGGGTGATTAAACGAATGGCTAGTAGTTTCGGGGAGAGGCTCGGGCAAAAGCCAGACACCAGGGGATGCAGAGGGGCCCCTCAGAGGCCTCTGGGCTCCACAGGCTCCTGGTCGTGCTGGAGGGAGAGCCTTCCCCAGCGACACCTGCCCAGCGCAGCCTGAGGGCCCCCAGCCTGCGGAGGTGAGACAGGTGTGGCCCGTCTTCTTGATGCATTTCACCTGCTCACCCCGGAAGTGGTTCTGCAGGAAGTCGCAGAGCTGAGGGTCTGCGCCTGCAGGTCCAAAGGGCCTGGTTCTGGTTCCCTGGGACCACAGTGGCTTCCACGAGGCCCTAGTTTTGCTCACCACCTGGGGAAGGTTCCGGCACATTCTGGAAGAGAACGCGGCCCCTCGCTGGTTTGCATCTGTAAGAGATGCTCTTGGTGCCCTCGCTTCTTCTGGGCCGACTCTCACCCTCGAGAGTCAAATCCTCGCAGTGGAAATGGAGGCCCAGAGAGAGGTAGGTGCGGGAGGCCCGCAGAGGCCGAACGGCCAGCGGGTGACCGCAGCCTCCACCTCTGTGGAATGATTCTGATGGATTTGGGGGCTCGTGGTTGTTTGGCCGTAGGAGTTTATTTAAGGTAAAAAAACCGGTGTTGGCTGATCTTGGAGGCTGAGGCTGGCTGAGGTGGTTCCTAGAAGGTGGTGACTGGAAAAGAGATTGGGGGTGACCGGAGGCTGGAAGAAGGGGCGTCCCTGGGTCTGTTCCTTCTAAATACTTGACGCAAGAGACAGATCCAGGGCCATGGAGGGCACGGCCTCTCTTGTTTTTCTCAATCTTTTTTTTTTTTTTTTTTTTGAGTCAGAATCCTCCGATTTTAAATTTACTTACTTTTTATCGAGGTAAGAATATATATATATATATTTAAAATATAGATTTTATTGATTTTTTACAGAGAGGAAGGGAGAGGGATAGAGAGTTAGAAACATTGATGAGAGAGAAACACCGATCAGCTCCCTCCTGCACACTCCCTACTGGGGATGTGCCCGCAACCCAGGTACATGCCCTTGACCGGAATCGAACCTGGGACCCTTTAGTCCGCAGGCTGACGCTCTAGCCACTGAGCCAAACCGGTTAGGACTGAAATATATATTTTGAAGACTGTTTCAGTTTAGTCCATGAAGAATGTCTTCGCCCTGACTGGGTGGCTTGGTTGGTTGGAGCGTTGCCCGGTGCACCAAAAGGTTGTGGGTTCGATTCCAGGTCAGGGCACAGACCTAGGTTGCAGGTTTGATCCCCAGTCACCCAGGAGGCAACTGATCGATGCTCCTCTCTCTCTCCCCCTCCCTTCCTCTCTCAGAGATCATAGTGACCTAGATTACACTTTGAAGAAGAAAAAAAAGAAAAAGAATATCTTCATTTCCTTTGTCTTTTTAACAGCTGAGAACTACTTCCCTAGATAGATTTCTTTTTTTTTTTTAAGATAGATTATTTAACCAGTTCTCTGCTAACCGGCATTTAGGTTGTTTCTGGTCTTTTCTAAATAAACGATGCTCCATGGAAGGTGCCAGCACATGTGACGGTACAGAACAGCTCCCTCCCCTCCATCCCGGATTCTCATGCCAACCCCCAGCCTTATAGCCAATCCTTCCCCCTCCCCTGGCAAGCAAGGATTTGCTCCCTGTCCATGTGGTTGTCCTTTTCCCAGAATAAATCTCCCCATTTAAACATCTGAACAAGCAATTGCAGCGGTCTGACAGCGCTGCCAGGGGGGTGCTGAGACTCACCAGCAGGCATGCCCGCTTCTTGCTCTAAACTCAGACCAGTGTCTAAGGAACCTCCG